GAATGCAGTTTACACCTGGTGGAAGCATTTGTTTTACTGATATCAGTAAACACCTTGACATGTCATGTGGTAATTAGGACATTATCAATAGGATAACCATAAAATTGTGATAGTTAAAAGCCATTGCGTGAATACGATCACTTCACGTTGAAGAAGACACAATGAAACATTTCAAACTTTTCGATATTTTGAAATTATAGTACAAATTGAACTGACAAAGAAGGACTTCATGGAAGCGAAAAAAGCAGTGAATGCATCCGAAGGTAAAAGGATTTTGTAAATTCATATTGCACACTACGTTCATGAATAATAAAATTTTATTATGAAAATTCATTAGCCATTTTGAAAACAGTTAGTCCTTAAGTGCCCTATTTACTCATCGATAACAGACACAATCATTAGGTTGTATTAGATATCTTTTCCACCATTAGTAAAATAACTTCTTAAAAATGTTCGGAAGGCTAGTGTAACCGCCAGTGAGTAGTCACGTTTTTCGTGTGCAGTGGACTAAACTTTTGAAAGCTCAAATATCCACTGTGTGGTGAGAAGAAACGTGCTGAGATATAATCAAATTATTATGACACGTTTTCGGATCATCAATATTTTGTATTCAGTATGATGATAAATATGACAATTTAGTTTCTTGATCAACATTTTTAATATCTTTCAACACTTCTTGTTTTTTAGCTAAACTTAAAGTGCTGGAAACAGCAGCAGTCATCGCATCTAATGCATACAGAAATAGTTCAAGTGAGTGAATATATTCATCAATTTTATTAGTTAACTGTAAAGCACAATGAATCTATGGACAGGTCTAATACGATTCACCGTTGGATGAATTTAGTAATGATAATGTGTAATACTTAGGCGTGTTTAATTAACCGTCAGCACGCACATAATTTTCCACACTTGTTAAATAGTTTCCAGTCAACTGTAAGAATGACGTAAAACTAAGATCGACTTGCACTTTGATTTACATTGAAAGCAGACAGAAGAGTAAATCAAGAGTCTATCCTCTCAAAATATTGGTGTGATAATTATAGTGAAGATGACATTGACTGTAGAAGTGGAATTGAATGCACTGTCATAGAATATAATTCTATATCAGATCAGTTCGTTGAATATAACACAAAGTGTCATAGTATTAAAAACTGAATGATGTTTCTAGGGCAATTTATCTCGTATAATCGTATCATATTATTGTGTAATCATTACTTAGCCTATTTGCGAAGATGGAATAAGGAAGCATCAACAAATGGTGAGTGAACAGTTTTTCCCTGCTTGAAATATTTCAAAGGTAAAATTTTATTCATCACTAAGCTCCATGAGACTCATCTTCGATTGAAGATAATGACATTCCTACAACAAGAAACTTCAGATTTTCACGTTTAACAGAGAATGGCATCATCATAATTGCATTACAGCGAAAAATAATGAAAATTTTGATCGTCAGGAAGCCATCGTCGAATAAAGGATGAACAAATACAAACAAAACTTTAGTTAATATTTTGAAATGGCAGAGACTTGTTCTTGAATGTCTCCAGTTTGAAGATCATCTGAAGTTAAATTCGACAGACCAATCAGACGATTAGTTGATGTATGTATTTACTCACTAATTGAAAATACAAAGTGCGCAAATTACTTACACGTATCTATTTCTATACTGAGTGTATTTGTATGAAGTATTTCTCTTCAATATCTTCAAGTACATATGCAACTATCAATTTGGTAACGGGTCATTATTCCTTTCAGACTCATTGAATGATGCTAAAATTACACAAGTGTATTGGAAAGCTCGTACTGATTTTGCCGACGGCACAGGTAATTTTTTTTTATTCGATCAGATTTCATATTTAATAGTTATAGTGATGACTGCACTTCTAAGAGAATTCCATTTTCGTAAAAGAGACAGAAGTGGCTAATGATGTGTATATTATCAAGTTGTCTTCTTCCTTAATTCCACATTTGGCTATATTATTGACAAAATTAGCAATAATACTGGTCACGCTTAAATTGGAATCTGCAAACTGTTGGACAGTTAGTGAGAATCAGGTCTGAAATATCTAAGCACAAAAGCGTCGAATCTACTGCTCATATTATCGAAACACGCAAAAGTATACCGATAAAGCTTCATTGACTTCATCAATACATCACAGAATAAAGCTAAAAACGTTTATCACATATTTCGTGAAGTTCAGAATAACAGTTACATTGAAACTACATGACATGATCGAGCATAATGAGATGTGGGCTTAATTTCAGACTAATGCAACGTTGAACATGGTTCTTACACATCACTGAAAATCTATTCACTGTTTTAGATGAACTACGTGACAAAATAAAACTATTGGAAATGAAGAGGATTGATTTTTTAAAATGTAAGTTGAAATACTGAAATCATTTAGAATTGGTTAGTTAAAAACCTAGAAGATAGAATAAACTGGCTCCTGACTGAAATGGAGGAAGATGCCAAGCAGTAATAATGAAGTGAGTTCCTATTTAGATCCTCAGCGTATTTTTAGTTTCTAACTGACTGCACAGGTGAATATGAACGTGAAGATGGGTTTTGCTGTTAGCTAAAATCAGCTATATGAATGCTTGAGAAATAAACAACATTGAAATTTTCTCCACTCTCATTTCTTGTTTACTCATCAGTTTACAAGCATGTCATAACTCACCTACTGGCTGACTGGTCACATGATCACAGTCGGCGGCTGTGCACAATATCACATCTGTAACACCTGCTGAGAGCGTCGTATATTCAAGTGGTGCTTCACATAGCCAATTTCCTGTGAGAGGAATTATAATTCGGAACCAACCAGATAATGTACACATCTATTCTGTGTTTCAATTGTCACAGAAAGTACTACCTTAAGACTAGTGTCATTGTTGGTTAGACAAAAAACTGTCAACAATAATCCTGCTATACAAGAGACATGTCTATTCTCAACTCATTTGTACTTTGCTTTTGGTTTCATTTTATTTCAGCTGCGGGGAAGGGAATTCGATACCAAGGGAATTCAAGCGATATTGATGAAGGGAATACATTGTTTGCTTATCACTTTTTTGTTTAATTAAATATAATATTTTTTCTTAAGATCTCGTTTCAGTTGACGTTTTCTTTCTTACTAGTAGAGTGCGTTATGTGAGAATGAAGTGGCTGGTTTTAAAAAAGTAGACTAAACTCTTATGCACAACTTAGGGATTATTGTGTTTGGCTAACGAAGTGTATTGTGTACCCGAGAGGAATGGTCAATGATGAGAAGTGTCAATGTTTACCAAAGACTAAAAAGCACGTATATGCACAAAGAAATGCAATCCATATTTTAAAGTTATGTGATACTAACACTTCCAGGAAATACAATAGGAAAGTTGACTTGTGAAGGCTTTTAGCACGTGGGTTGGTTGACGTTAGGTTATTTTGTTAACCACAGTGTACAATATAATATAATACATAATATAAAGTCTCAGTCACAATATGCGTCATTAAAATGCAGCAAATTCGTCATCCATGTTATGAAAAAATGTCATGGTCTGAGAATGACGGAATTAAAAGCCTCATTTAATATATCATGTATATAAGGCAACATTATGTTTTGAGAGGTCTTATTTCCGCTATATAAAAAATTCTCAATTATTGTAATGTGTTCAAAATAACATTCAATATCAAAAAGTTATTCATATTTCTCAGATGTTTTAAGCAGTACAAAGATTAACGTGAATGTTGTGTAAATGAAATTGTGCATGCTAAATGCAGACTCTGTTAACAAGATACTGAATGATCTACAAAATTCATAGATTCGCCCATTACAGCACAGCTGAGTTAAAGAGATGTCGCCTTCTGCAACAGCGACATATGGAATCGACAACAACATGATGTGCACTTGAATGTGTTGATAGGATTATCAATCGTGAAACTCAACTCTCGTCCTTGTCAGTCAAAATCTCAAAAGACTTTGACAGAATGATTTACATGTGTTCGTAGTTAAGCGATTTCTGAGTGCATGCTTTCCATCATCATGAAACTGCTCATATATTAATATGTGAGAGAGTGATATACAGAGAGAGCTAGCGAGATATAGAGCGAAACAGCAAGAATGAGAGACTTGAGAATGTTTCGAATTGATGATGGAAATTTACTTGTTCCTTTATTATCCTAGGGATGATTAAATGGTGTGCTTGTTTATGGAGTAGATGTGTCACTGATTGTGTATGAATTGTATATACATAAGCCTTCACATGCTGCTGGATATTTATGGGACACGGTGTATATAAGTCAGTAGTCAGTGAGTCAAGCAGTCTGGCAGTCAGACAGTCACCTCATAGAGTGAGAACTTATGAGCAGGAAAGTGAATGACAAGATTGGTCGAGTGATGAATGCCAGTGCTGACTAAATGAACCACTGATTTCTGCCAGTCAAGTATGTATCATCTCTCACCATTCCTTGATGGGAGAATTTTGTGCGTGATAAAATCAAACACAGATACAGTATTACTTAATTAATTACTGTGTGCTTGTATCATCAAATGAATTTCTTCTTTGAATGATGGAATCTAATTGTACTGTACCACACTATGTGCATAGGCTCTACTCTCCTCAAATGTACTATGACTGCCCAAATATTATTGTGATTTAGGACCTCACTGAATTATGATGGTTTACTCTCACCTTATGTTGACAAGGTGGTGGTTGTAATCGATCAGACGAGAAAGCTAAGCTAACGGGAGAACTGATGACTTCATAGTTGACGAGTAGACAAAGCATGATGAATTAAAAATGATATGTTGCTAATACACTACTCGTTCGATGAATGCCTACGTATCTCAATCTCAGTGAAGATGCAAGTTCGTCAGTTTTCTGATGGATAAATGGATGGATGGATGAATATTCATTCAGAATAGATGACGAGAGATGACGTGAGGTGATTTTCAGCTCATTAGTGTCTGTCCGGTGAAGGCATTGAGTTAACTGACACAAGCTACACACGATTGTGAAGACATCAAGAAAAGTGAATAGAGATGGTGATTGGAGACACCTACTATTCACCGTTAGTTGAGATTCAGATATCACGAAATTGTAGGACTACCGTCCTACCATAAGAAAAGACAGTCAAAGGAGTCTGTCTCTCCAGCAACGAATACTGACGACTAGTTCACATTTGATGTGGAGAATAGAAAAATAGTGAGATAAACGGAGAAAGCGGAGGGGAGTGAGAGAGAGAGAGGGGACAGAAAGAAGGAGATAGAGGAAGAGAAACAAAATGTGTTTGTGAAGGAGAGACAGCGTGATGAATGGACAGATCGAAATGTGATGAGCGTGGGTGATTGTGTGATTCACTCTGTGCGTGCGTGTGTGTAAGGTGGAGGGTGTATGTTCCTCACTACTTAATTTGACGGCTAATGCACTAATTTACCTCATTAGGGCGCTAATAAGACTGGTAAAGAGGGAAGGTTAGGTATGAAGTTAGCAACTTTACTCGTAAAAATAAAAAAATAAACGCTGCTGCTACCAAAACTTAAAGTTTCCAGCTTGACGCCCTATATTCTACTAGGAACGTACAACAATTAAAATCCTTATGTGAGCGTCAAATGATGATGAGGTGAACTTTTCCTCATCATAGAGAAACTGTTGAGGACGTAATCAATCTTGTGGGGTAATCATGCGAGGAATAGTGTATGTTCATGTTTGTCTGTGTAATTCACGTGTGTGCGTGTCGTGTTTTCGTCGTAAAGGAGAGAGATACACTCAGATGAAGATGGATAGACGGGAAGACCGAGAGAAAAGCAGAGAGATAGTATGTATTCCTGTGTATGAGTGACTGAGAGAGAATTGTGAGAGTTTCTCGAGCTGTAAGAAAGTACGTTAAGCCTCTAATAGAAAGTAACCCAACCCGATACACTATCCAATCAAAAACGCACAATGATATTTTGCAACATTCATTTTCCAAATAATAACAACTGGCTTTCTGTGCTTATATATTGTAGGCGAATTGCCTAGCACTGTCTATCCCACATTTGCCTCATACCTTTCTACTCTAATGAATCAATCAATTTCTGAATGATGTTAATTCACTCATCGTCACCTCATGACAAATGATGATGATGGTGATGATTTTTGAGTAATGTGTAAGAAGAAGTGAGAGACAGTGAGAGGCAGAAAATTATCAGTTTTCGTGGATTGTGTATAATCGAATGCATTGTGAAAATATGTAGAGTTTTAGTCGAATAAACGAATGTGGAACCTTGTCTCTGAGTAAAGTTGTTTTTTGATGGTATTTTCTACATGCGTAGGAGTGTTCTGAAATGACCCTAGTTACTTAGTCATTTTTCCGTGGCATGAATGTTAGGTGCACTCCACCGCTTTGTAAACTGATCATCGAGGAAACCAGCTCAATCCTCGACACTTCACTCAATTCAATACTTCAGAGACTTGATGTGTCAAGTCCAACAGCCTTGGGTAGTATGTCATCAACACCTGATTTTGTTAGTTAGATAGTAAAGACCAGATGTCTGAACAGAAATGATAAGAGATAACAAACAATGGTGATGAACCGTCTTAACAACTTTATCCCAACAAATCAGCAGAAGATAAATGAGATGGATAGGACATACACTGAAGGGACTGTTGAGTAACATCTTATATCATGTCCTCATATTGATCCTAAAACCAAAGCGAGTGATATCCAGAAGTTCGTATGAGGATGAAATGAAAGCTTGAGAGTAGTCTTGTAGCCAGCTAAACAAGACTGCATAGAACAGAGTGGAATCGAATTTTCTGTTGGAATGAATGCAGTAACAAACGAACTTATGTATTCTTATCCGGTTTCTATTTAGCATGTCTTTATCTATTTTCAATCGTTTGGTTTTGTGCTTAAAATGCCTCCCACTGAGTGTTCATTTGTGAACTCGTAAATTCAACTTTGCCGCCCATAAGTCATGTCAACACCATAGGTGTTTCTTAAGATATGAAGCTGAAAAATTGTCAATAGTCGAGGTTTGCTGCATTTCAGTTTGTGAAGACATGGTCTCAATGAATTGGATTCAAGTGTTTCAAGAATTAATCTACAATGACATAGATACATCTTGAGAAGTTGTCATAAATTGTGATTTCACTGATAGGCGTAATAAAATCAATGGCGATATTGGTAGTCCTTGGTAGCTAAACTAGATTTCGTATTTTCATATGAATGCGTGATGTGGTTGAGTAATGTAGCTTCAGGCATATTCATGATCTTCATCTATGCCTTGGATATCAAACGATAAAGAAACCAATTTCTTTCAAGGTAAGCTTCGATGGGGAATTGAAAATTATCTTGAATGCGATGCTGTATGTTGTTCATTTTGGAATTTTCTAGGTGGGAAGAGTTTCAGCTTATTCTGTTACTGTGAGTGGACTGGAAGCATACAGTCCAATGAAAACACCTTTAATTCATAATTAACCGAATTCTTTGGAATGCAGTAATACCTGGTCTCCATGTAATTTTTTTGAAAGATAGGGAAGAGAGACAGAGAGAGCACGAATTTCAATAAGGTCATTCTTTTTCCTAACCAAAACATCCAAGACTGCATTCTTCAACTACATGTGCAAGCTTCGAAATGCAATTTTTTGTTTTGTGTGCACAAATATTATTTTGCACTGGTTTCTTCAATGAATCCATGCTCAGTTATTCGGTTCCCACAATGTGGTGAAGATCCTAATTTATAGGGCACGAAGAATTTAGTGAAAATAGTAAGAAATTGAGCAGGTAATCTAACGCATCTTTAAACTAGTGAATACATTTTCTTGAAAGGTTTTAGGTTGATAAGCGTGCATTGTAAATAATGAGAAGAAGAATTAATACTTACTTAAACAACTTGGTACAGAACTAACCAGTTGAGTGTTTTATGCACAAAGCGAATGGGATAAAGCAAACGAGAAGTAGAACTGTCTTTTAATTCACTTTGGAATCAACGATGAGACTGTTGAACAAAATCGAGCAACCAATGCGCTAGGTTGTGTATATTACCACTTAAATCTGACATCGTAGGTCATCGTGTTGACCAGAGATATAGTGTGTTTGTGTGATACAGACTGTGTGTGCCAACCGATTATTATTCT